CATCAGAGCATCGGGTCGGAGTGTGAGAACAAACATGGTGAGCTGAGAACTTTTAAACCCTGCAGCTTCGTCATACAGTGTGAGCTGTAGCTCCGTGCAATGATTAAATATATCGTACAGTGTATGCCCGGCTTCAATTTTAAGATTTGTCATGTTTCTTTGCGTTAGCAGTTTGTTTTTATTTATTTCCTCCTCAATTATTTGCTTATTCTGTTAAACATGTTAATATCACAATTTTTAGTTTCTCTGTATTTTTAGCCCAGGCTCACACAGACTCCATCACTCTTGCGTTTTTTTCTCTCTGCCACCAAAAGAATCAATGCAGTAATTTCTAGTGGCACATTGGGGATTCAGCATGATGTACACTCCTTCTCCGTTTTTCCCTCGGAGAAAGGATAAAATCTTATTTTACGGATAATTTAGCAAATTGCATCAATTTCTAAAGACCAGATTAGCCTGACAGGAATTCAGGCAAGGAAAGTCTGTTGGCCCCCCTGGTCCAATAGTTGTCCTATGTTGTGCCCTTTTCTCCTGCAGGGAACTAACTTAGGGTGACCATATTATGGTTTCCTAAAAGGAGAACACTTTCCCAGCCTCGGACGGATTCAGACAGGCTTCTCAGAGGTTAATAAACATGCTTTATTACTGTATCCCTAAAGGGTGCAAAAATAACTTCTGCATTAAAAAGAAACCTGCAACTAACAGTAACTAAATTATAGCTCTTATAAATTAAAAACATTTAATCAAATAATGTTCTACAGTAAATATGACATCTTATCTATTAAAAATCAGTATATCATCCTGTGTTTTTCCAGGTCTAACAAAGTACTCAGTCAGCTTTGCAGAATAACTCTCACCTCACTCAGCAGTCCCTCCAGAATTACCTCAGGCAACAAAGTAGCGTAGAATTATGTGCAAAGCGCCAGTTGATTTAAGCATATGATAATGGTCCCCTAAAAAACACTAAAAAACTGACATTTTCAGGACTTTTTAACCCCCCTCCGGACGCCCAGGAAAGAATTTAAAAACTGGACATATCCGTGCAAAAGAGGACATTTGGTCACCCTAAGCTAACTACCCTCTGCAACGTATTAAAAGGCTCCTTTCCAGCCAGCTAGGAACCTTTTTTGACCTCGCTGATCATTCGGTATCTAGCTGTCTGCAGAGGAGCTTTTTGCAGTCTGGTCCTCTTCGATTAGCTTTATTCTGGAGCAGGAAATAAAGCTATTTATAAACCTTGTTTGTCTCCACTCAGTCAGATTTAAAAAATTGGGGCTTGTCCAGGATTTTAGCTACTGGACCTCTTGCACCAAATACAGGCATCCATAAGTGGGAAACATGGATGTTTTCTGTCCAAGGTTCCATCTTCAGAGTTAGATGCGATGCAACAATAGAGTTTTCATATTCAGCACCGTTATTTGTGAAAGGCAGATTGGATCTCTTTTGAACATGAAGGAGGACTGCTGGGCCAATTAGACGGTGTTAATGACTGGAATTTTTTTTATTTTTTGTGGAGTGCTAAACACACTGATGGCAGAGTCTGAACCACCTTAAACTCACCTTTCTACAGAGGAACGTTTTTTGATCAGTTAATGTATCTAAAGTTGATTGATCTTATTAAGCGACTGATCATTGATGGATAAACGGCCACTTTAAAAAACAAACAAATTTTCTCTTGTACCAAGAGAATCTTTCCATAACATAAAGAATAAATATTCTTTTACAACTAGCTGAATTTAGAATATAAATTTCAATTCA